GACCGATATCTCGATTTAGGCCAAACTCGCTCCTATTGATTCCGAGGTCTGTGGATCGATTAAGGGACAGATCGCGATTTAGGCTGAGATCCCTGTTGATACTTAAATCCCTATTAAGAGACAAATCTCCACCTCGATTTATACTGAATTCCCTGTTTGCATCTGCTGTCCTGGACATATAATCCGGCCTGGCAATTTGGTCCCTGTTGACTTCCCTATTTAGACCGAGATCTTGACCCAGATGCCTGTTTTCGTGATATCCTTCAGTTTGTGTCCGGTGAAGATGGTAGTTGGAAATAGACGGGTGATTGTAGATTGGCCAGTTGTTGTGCATACTATGTATATTTGTATGCATATTGTGAATATTCGTATGTATATTATGAATATTATGGATATTATGAATATTTGTATGGATGTTATAGTTTTGGGGCTTGATGTCCTGCCAATCTGTATTTTGATATAGATTTGGCGATTGGGATAAATTCCCGTGGGCGGCCAGGTGGGTTTCCATTCGATTTTGTGCAAGATGCGGCTCTAGTCTATTCTGCGATAAATTCGAATCGTGCGGCGACAGATTGTGTTCCAACCTGTTCTGGGAGAGGTTCGCCTGCGATAGGTTGACGCTATGAGGCGACAAGTTGTGCTCGAGTCTGTTCTGGGATAGGTTTTGGCACAGGTTACCATGTGATAGATGAGATTCCAATCGGTTTTGGGATAGGTGAGCGTGAGCATGGGCCAGTCCTCCGACGCTGTGCGGAGACAGGTTCTGCTCGGAACGGTTCGCCTGTTGCGCCAAATTTCCGTGCGAGTGAATCGGGTTACTGTACATGTGCTGCTGTTGGCCGTATTTCGAATCCGAATTTCTCGGCGAATTTGGATCGTTCGAATTGCTCGATGGATTATTTTGATTTGTTCCGTTGGGGTTACTGGCGCCACCAGCGCTTGCGGATTCTGACGGATCTATTTCAGACATGTAGCCCGTAGACATGATATTATTTATATTTCTGGTTAATATTTTCAAACTTCCGTTTATGGTCCTTTTATAGATCGCAATCGACTAGACTAGGTTTCTTATTGGCAATTCGTACGATATTGAAATCTTATTTAGAGGTTTATTTATACGTTTCATTTATATTATTTCGTTATGTTTCGCGGGAAAAATTACTTAAGAAATTTTTAAATATTATATACTGTAAATAATATGTTCAAATTTTGATTTTGCCACTCCCGTTATTTTGTATAAAGATACACGCTTTCAATTTATATCGACTGATGATATACTTAATTTGTAAATCAATTATTTATCATGAATATATCTGCACTTACAAGGTTTTGAAGATGTCAAAATAGAAACTAGAAATTATTTTTCAAATGACACGATATCACTATTTCACTTTAACCATGAGAACACAATACAAGTACAAATATTTTGTAATAATGACTAATAACTGCAATGAGAATATCGTTTCAATCAACACTGTCAATAAACACTAATAACAATTTTTATTTGCAAAACTCCGCAATAGCATACATGACTTAATCTACCAACTTAGGATTATCTATTATTTCTTTAATTCGTTAATAATTGAGATCCAATAAATGTATATGTTATTTTCTATAACATTTTCAGTTCTGTAAGTTTATGCAAAATTTTTATACGTACTTGTGATATTTTTCATATTTTTCAACGTATCTACACTTGATTTTTAATCAAGCACGTTTATAAATAATTCATTTTATTGAGCACACAATGATGTCCAATTTTCTATGCACATTTCGTTTCACAGTTCATTAAATTAACTATGTAGTTTGCATTAGAGAACTAAAACCAGAACTGAATGTTTTTGCACTGTTTGATAATTATCCATTTAAGATTAACATTCCATATAATTTCGTGTTTGTCACTGGTGTATTTTCATTCTATTGTATTGCATTTATAAATTGCACAATCTTCAAATGTAGGGTATGTGATTTAACAATTGTCCTCATATAAATCACCATGATCAAAACAAGTCACTCACATAAATCAACAGCACAAAACTTTAATTAGCACACCGTACAGAGATGACACATCCGGCACTTTCATATTTTAAATATTCATCGGAGTATTATCATATAGGTTCATATACAAATTTATGTATATTGAAGAAAAAATCCAAATTTATTCAAATATATTCGGTGGCGCGACAAACAGATCACACACAACCATACATGACGTGTTCGCTCGCGCTATCGCAAGCCGACTAAATAGATTCTTCCGACGGCGGACCGGGAAAGCGCGTTGCCAACGGCGGCCACACCTCCGCGGACAGGCGTGGCTAATGGCAAGCGGAGCAGTTTCGCCTGTGAGAGATGAAAGATCACTCGTGCGCGAGCGGTCGAATGATACGAGTCGCGGGCGAGTGTGCAACCGTATACTTACACGGTTCTACACTCGCAAAGGCGGTTATACGTACTAATCGTACACGTTCTCGTGTACGTATTCCGAGTCCTGCAAATGAAATGCCGTGTATATACGCACATACAGACGAATGAGTAACCTGCACCAATATAACCACAATAGTGGGTGGGATATATTCATAGCTCATAGATGTGTGCAACTTTGCACGTGTAATCGCAGTCCCATACAGACCCAAAATTATATATGTATACCTCTAACTCTTGTTTGTGTAAGTTCAAGTTACATGAATATGCATTATATTGAAAGTAAAAGTTAGAATTAGAAGTGTATAGACAAAATATGTATACCCATTCATATACATAAAGACATGTATGTATTAAATGTATATATAATATATATATATATATATATATATATATATATATATATATATATGTACACATTAGTGAGCTATCCTATACAAATCGATATCTCATGCTAAAATATTTAAATGTATGCGAATGTTACCCCGTATTTGTGTAAATACATTCATACACAAATATAAAGTAAATATAATTCTATTTGGTCTATGTTTGTATAAGTTGTTTGCTGTTTGATTTTGTTACTTCATATAGAGGAAGCCATTTTGTTTTTTATATGTATATATTGAACATGTTATGGAATATATATATATATATATATATATATATATATATATATATATTTGAATAGTCTTGAATTTGATGTTGATATATATGTTTAATTTGAGTTTAAAATTCGGGCGTAACATCAATAAAAATAACGGTTTCATATGCTATATTAGGATAGGATATAATTAAAGGTGTTTTATTATTATTATTAATATTGTTTCTCTATGAAATTTCTTACATATTATTTATTTAGTTTTAATTTATATAGTTAATTTGATTACCACTGAATGATGGCTAAGATGCTAGCCGAAACGTGTGGATTTTAAATAAATAAACTTTAAAAAAACTCTCATACTATTTTTATTGATGTTACGCCTGAATTTTAAACTCAAATTAAACATATATATATATATATATATATATATATATATATAGTATTTATGAATTCAAGCAGTAGTGATGTCCATCTATTGAAAATATGGATCAAAAATGTTTCAAACTGAAAATAACTCATTGCCAGCAAGAGCAAGAGGATCAGGTATATACCGTTTATTAATTTTTCAATGACATGTTAAATAATCTTACACTATCCTTTCCTGATTTCAGTTGGAATTCAATTCAAGTTCCAGTCTTAAATATTTTAAGGTATATCCAGATATTATATTTTAATTATATCCTAATTATATCTGTATGTATTGAAAGAATTTGTAGCATATAAGATGAATATTTATTTACAATAAAAAAATTGTTGGTATTTAAATAAAATAAAATTAGGTAAAAAGTGACCAAATATTTTATTGAGGGCCATAATATTTTTTCCAACCGAAATATGCTGTATTTATTTTATTGCTCATGTATTTTACTAACCACCTGCTTACATACAAACATAATATTTATAATTATTTTTTTAATCATTGAGAAATACTGTAAATCTTTTGTTTTTAAAATTAAATAGATTGCTTTTTCTTGGAGATTTATAGGGCACGAAATAATACATTTTAATGATTTAAAGAACGTTGTCAAAGGTTTTTTTTTCAATTCTGTGACTTTGATCGTCAATCAACTTAAGATCGACCGGTGGTAATCCCTAACGTATACTTGTTTCATGTGTATGCGCGTGTGTGCATTTAAATATTGTTGCTTATAATAACTTGAAACTTATATCACACACATAATATTTTTAGCTAATAAGTTTTTTTGCTATTTATAATTAATATACTCGTAATTATTATTATATCGGACTCGGATAATTAAGACGTTTAAAAACGCTTACTTAGTAAATAAAATTACCTTGCCGCAATGTAAACGATCCTGGCGGCATCTCTGCAACTACAATCAGATTATTTTCATCATACGTACCAACCACGAAAAAAATGACAAATTTTGTTTAAGAAAATTAAAAATTCAAATATATATCACGCTAAAAAGCGATATAACGCAGTTTGAAAATATAAATTATAGATCTAATATTAAGTGAATTGACTTTATGGTTCACTTAAAATATATTAGACTTGAACCAATATATCATTCAAGTCAACTGGTAGCAACTGGTTCGCTGGAAGCAAGTTTTGAACGAATTGATAATAAAAATGAATTACTATACATCATTATGTAGCATATTTTAGACATTCAGGTCTAAATTATTTGACTTTAAAGTTTACATGAATTACCTTGGACTTGAATTAATATATCATTTGAACTATTGTTTGCTAATATCAAGTTTTCAACCAATTAAAATTATCAATAATTGTAACGTCTTATAATAGCTTTTCGTTGTTGAAAATTTGTTTTAAAAGGCTTTGTAAGTTTTTTTTTCAAATGAATAAATTTCGATATCGTAAGTACGACCAATGTTTAATTCGTATTATTAAACGTGTGCGCTTCTGTACTTGATACTTGGGTATCCTAGATGGTGCTACCTTTAAGCCCTTCGCTCGCATTGAATAAGAAGAAGAAGAAGAAGTCGAGTGTGGAGAGCAAATCTCGTATCTGTCGGAAAAAAGGTTGGCTTGGAACAGAGCCACAAAGCCATAACATCGAATATCAAACATTGCTATAACGCATTCAACTGGTTTACAACAAAAGACGTTTTGTGTGTTACACGATATATTTTGATGCCATAAATGAAATAGATCATAAGTGAAAACTGTTTTTTTTATTTCTGGTGTATATAGGGAAAATATGAAGAGACGAAATGCTGATTGTGGTAAAATGAGGCGACCCATCAAACGCAACAAAATAACCGAGGGTATATACGGAAGGTACTGACGTTATTACAGCCCTATTTCATTTGTTCTTCACCAACTAATCATTGTCATGTACTTGCGACCCGTGACATAATATTATGGTGATTGTAGTGTTGTTTTCAGTTGATTCCCCATATGTGTTTCAAAATGGCTTACAACAATGTTCGATAAATAAAATGTTTATTTTTCTATTTCTTGCTGGCAATAGTGGTCAAGAAGAACTTGTTCCGTGGGCTCTAAAGTTTTCTTAAACTACTGATCTAATAACAGTGTTTATATGCCATTTTTTAAATTTATTTGCGTCAGTTAGGTTAGTGTGTTTATATAGAAGCACTGACAGTGGATCCTAATAAAATCAATGGGGGTCTTGCCTTAACATAAACTAATATAATCATATTGTATTACAAAGATATGATTTTCTGTATTGCAATATGTTTTAACAGTTGTCAAAAACATTGTTACTGATTTGATTTCATTTTTTAATCAATTTTTGACTAGTGTTTTAAATATCAAACATAATTATGAGAACTCAGAAATATAAGTATGAACTAAAAATGCTATGAGTTCTTTAATGGTAGTTATTAACTTTTACTTCACTTTACGTTGGATTATATATGACAAAAATTTGTTATACAATATTGTTTACTCTGAAAATTTTATTACAATTGTTACGCAATACAATTCATGATTGTCTTATTGACGAAATTCAAATTTTTAGCACTCTTCTGTACCTGAAATTTTTAGTACTTTGGGCCTTGGTCATTTTGGCTGATTTTCTTCTCGAATTCAGATTTGAATTTTTATGGCCATTTTGGTTATTACTTCGTTCAGTACACGATTCGTTTAAGTATCAGGGATTGGTAAGATTGCTGATTTTTGAATTATCTATATTATATACATTTTATGTATTGAATTGATTTGTTTTTTTAGGCATTTTCTGTATTATTTGTGTGTATTGCATTGACATCTGATCTGGTGTGCTTATTTTTTATCCCAGTTCATTGGTTGTTTTTTGCAGCAAGTACATATGTTTGGGTGCAATATGTTTGGCATACAGGTATACAGTTGTAAATTGTTCATCTATTAATAATTTAATATTAAAAATCTATCACATACCTAATAATATATTTTAGATAAAGGTGTATGTCTTCCCACAATAATATTATGGATGCTTTTCGTATATTTGGAAGCAGCAGTTAGATGGAGAGATTTGCGGCATCTACCTTTACATTTAGATCTTTGTAGACCTTTTGCCGCTCATTGGTAACGTTACTATTATATATTCCTGATTGATTATGATAAATTTAACATATTAGAATATGAAATAACACTATATTTGACTTTTCTGCAGTATTGGGTATCCGGTAGTAACTCTTGGTTTTGGTTTTAAAAGTTACATAGGATATCGTATGCGACAGCGTCGTCAACGCGATGTGGCCAAAGAAAATGATTTTTATTTACAAATATTACAACAAGCACTTCCACAAGAAACAGTTACGACACCTACAACAGAAAGTACACAACAGCCACCTGTCCAAACTAAGAAAGCTTCTCATACTTCAAATGTTAAAGATGTATATTTACAGAATGGCCATATTGGTATAAGCAATTATTATTATATGTTATATATTTGTCTATATGTTGACAATGTAGTCTAAATATTCTTTGATATCTACTGAAATGTGTATTTTAGGGAATGGAGTGAAACAACATCGTAAGAGTCTAGACAAAGAGAGTTCTAAAAGTGAGCAAAATGGTACGATAGTGTCAAGAAATGACAAACACGAACACCATCACCCTAACATGAGCAGAGATCATAATCATATCACAAAAACCGATAAGAATTCAGATAATAGTACAAAAACAGATTCATTGTTATTAACTAACAAATGTGATACACAACAAAGTGTCAAATGTAACGATCACTTATATAAACAGGATCGTGATTATAATAATAAAAGTGATAAAAATGATAATCAAACAAAAGAAACACATAATAAACTTGAAAATCACAATCATATATCCAAAGGTGAAAACTTTAGGGAAGTCGTTAAAAACGACTTAAAAAATGAAAATTTATTTATAAAAGAAAACTATAGAGTAGATTCTTTGCCCAAGACTGAATCACATGTACAAAATTTAAATAATGCATCTAGTCAAGCCAAGGGTGAATGTTCAAATAATCGATTGGCAAATGGCAGTCTACAGTTTGTAGCAAATGGTGTTGAATTATCTGAACGTATTTCTGAAATGAAAACTAAGTCCAAAAATATTAACTGTATTGAAAGACGAAAAGGAAAGGAACGTCAGCATAAAGAAAAAGAGATTTTTAATAGTGAGTCAAGTGAGTGATACATAAATCTTGCAATATTATGTATAATACAACAAAATACACATTTGATTTTTATAGATGTTTGTGAGTCATGCTTGAGGTTAGATAATGAAGTACGCAAACTGAAATCAGAAGTTCAATCAGCACGGCAATCTGAAGTTTTATGTAAAGCTCAAGAAAGGAGTTGCAGATCAGAATTAGTACAAGCTCAAAGAGAGAGCGATGAACTTCAAATGAAGTATGATAGTTTTTTGATACATGTAGTTTTAAACTATCTGTGCAAACATATGTAAATATCAAATGAACCACAAAATATTGTTTATTTCAGAGTGCAATCATTAACATCTTTGAGACAAAATGAACGACAAAATCAAGTAAATACTGAAAGGAAATTAGCTGAGGAAAGAAGGCAACGTATTTCCTTTGAGAATCAATTGGCTAATGAGAGAAAGCAAAGAAAAGTGGCTGAAGACAGATTGAACAAGTAAGATATTTTAAATATATACATATTATGTATTTTTACTGAGATTATTGGTAATATTTAATCAATAATTCAGAGGTGAATGCACAGAGAGTTGTAAAAATAGACGTCAAGTTCTCGAAGTGGAAAATAAGAACTTAAGAAGAGAGCTTCAAATTGCAGAGGAAAGAGGACATACAATGGAACAGCACGGAAGGGCATTAGATCAACAGGTTTGCTATAACAATACAAATTGTTTCAAAACAAACTGTTAAATAACAGTGAATTTATACAACTTGTTCTTCTCCATCAATTTTGTAATTATTGTTATAAAATACATTTGTTATTTGTAGGTGCGAAATCTTGAAGCTGAGGCACGGGCCAGAGGCCAGCAACATGGAGCTGATGTACTCATGGGGGCGCTAGCAGCTATGCAGGATAAGAACAGTCATTTAGAGCATAGTTTATCGGCAGAAACCCGTATCAAATTGGACTTGTTTAGTGCTTTAGGAGAGGCCAATAGAAAACTTGAAATCAAAGACAGTATGTTAACATTATGAATTCTTATCTAACACAATAGGAGTAGTTGTATTCAAAATAGAAAGTTTTGAGCCCTAATTTCATTTTTACAACTAATACACTCTGTGTTGAAATTAATAATTTAAATTATAACTAAACCAAGAAAACTATTTGATAATATATAATAGTAATTATTATAAACTTTGTCACCAGTTTGCAAGAAAAATGCATAGAGTTTTAATTATTTCAGATTTGATTCGTGCACATGAGAAAGAATTAAGCGAGCTGAAATCTCGTCTGGCTCAAGTTTTAGCTGTTATGCCACAGGACACTTTTGTTACTGGTTCTCAAAGTGTTGGTTCTACAGCGACCGTCACTTCTAAATTGCGTTTAAATGATACACCCCCATTACTATCAGCAGTAGTGGGACATAATAATGGGGGTTCACCGTTATTGCATCCCATTAATTCTAGTCCTTCAGGAAATGTTCAACTGTGTGCTTTGAATGGAATTACTTCGAACAATAATACTATAAGTGGGAGTTCTTTAAATCATCATCAGCCCGGGTCTACATTAGATCCAAATGCTACAGCATATACACCTAAGAATTCTATAGGAGGTGAAGCCTGACCTGAATATTACGTACTTTGACTTTAAATATTTATATATATATATATATATATATATATATATATATATATATAAAACATATGATTGTGTATTTTTTATTTTATTTTATCTTATCTTTTTGTGTATATGTATGCATACATGAATATTGAATATAAGCATGAAATGATTTAGTATAATATCACATTATACTTATGATCTAAGAAATAGATTGATATTGTTTTATGACTTCATAAATATGTAATAAGACATTTATTCTAGATGTTTGCATATGTATACAACTAGTATATGTAAATATCATATATATATATATATATATATATATATATATATATATATATATATATATATATATATAAAAACTTAATCTTTGTAGGGATATGAATCTTACTTTTATTCTGCAAAGCTAAACTTCATGAAATAAATACTCAAGTGATATGATGTCTAAATGGCAGGATTTCAAAAACAATGGGATCTTCGTAATGAATGATAATTTATTGCACACACATAAAGTTGAACATGTTTTCTCTTTATTTAGAATAAAAAGGCAATTTGATTTTCCTTAGTAGTGCCAGTTTGTTGTTCAAAGTTCTAAATAATATTCAGTTTTTATAGGAAACACATTTATCCTAAGTTGTATACTTTAAAAATGGTTTGGATAATGAATGACGTGTACTAAGAACATAATATTAGATTTGCTCATTGTTATGAGTCATTTAATTTAATTTACTTATTGTGATAATTAGGTAAGCTTTGTTATTATTTAATTGATAGTTTAGTCCCTGACTTTTTATAAGAAGCACAAAAGATATGTATCTTGATAAAACTTGAATTTTTCTTTCATAGCAGAACTGTTATTGCTTTTCCTAATATATTATTTGAAAATGATAATCATAGCTTCCATTTTAATGAAATAACTTTTTATTTCTAATAACGCCATGGTTAAAGAACTGATGTTTTAAGTTTAGTCTGAATTACTTTATGTAAAATTAGTTTTTGAAAAACGCTTTATTATTTTTAAAGTACTTAATTAATTAATCAATATAGATTGTGTGACATCACCAAAAATATCTTTAAATTATCAATGTATTTTTAATCTTTGCAACAGAAAATAAATTCAGACCATTATTTGGTACTATTGGTTTTAATGTAATTGTTATTAGATTTGTTGATAATTTCAAATTTCATTCTTCTCTTTTGATTATGTAATTGTATTTGTTATAATTTTTGTGTTTGATTGTCTGTATTTTAATTTATGATCTCGTTTATGTTATGTAACACAATTTATTTATAGATTGTAAAATAATTATTTTATACTTATGTCATTGAATATTTACAGTTAAACAAAATTTAACAAGATGTAACTTTTATGTTATAAGGTTTATAGTTATAGAACAGATTGACAATCAAACACGAACATCCGACATATTGTTTATTGTTTACAGGATGTAATAAATAATTTTCATTGAACTCGTAAAAACAGTGGTATTTTTACCTTTTATGTAATATGAAGAATGTGATCTATAAAATCATCATTATCTTTAATTGTACTTTCTGATTTTTTTGTTTACAATTACTGTATTTGTCATCATATATATCACAGATAATTGAATAAAATGCAGTTCGAATCTAACAAACTTTATAAAATGTTTTATTGTATTCCGTGATAGTACTATTTAGCTAATTATTATTATGTAGCTGGTATGTTTAATTGCGCTCATTTGTGATCTCTTGGACCTGTGAAATATGTTGCATAGTATAACTAGAGCTAAAAATAAATCTTTACTAAATTTTCAACATAATTAAAATTCTGAAACATCCAAATAAAGATGTTTATTTGGATATGGATTCAATGTACTTAATTAATGCTGATATATTTTTCTATTTACTCATAAACATATATATATATATATATATATATATATATATATATATATATATGGAAGAATTCCATCTATATGGATTTGAATATATGTATTCTTACGCAAGTTAAAATCAGCTGCATATATCATCACGGCAGTACCAACACTAATATACTAAAGTGTATACACAATTTTTAATATAATGTTTGTGACAGATACCAAATATCGTAGTGGAGTTTTTGAATACCAAAGAAAAGATATACTTTAATTTAATATAATGTTTTCGTTTTATACTTACCTAAAGCGTTTTCTTTCACATTCAATGCCTTTTATAAAAAATGGATGTCCAAATGCGAGATTTTGAGATGAGTGACTCAGAAGCAGAGTTACTTGATCATACTGCAACAAGTATTAATTATTCAAGAAATAGAAGACATGAAAAAGGCTGCATGCACTATATTCGAGTTATGTGCAGGTAATAATAAACATATTTTGAAAAATACCACAATGTTATGTTCGTAAATTTATATATTTTGTTTGTTTATTGTATGTTGGTTGCCTTGTTTGTCTTCGCTTTTCTGTCAAATTATTTGCTGTCAAATTTTCATCAATTTTTCAACAAAATTTTTAAGCATATAATCGAATTGTAATTATGTTAGCTTGTTGCAAGTGTTTAAAATAATTGAAATACTCTTTTAAACACTTCAACAAAACTGGAGCTGCGTGAAATAATGACGAGTATAAACAATGTGGAAAATCTGGAGATTCCTGTAACTTCATTTAGCAATAAAGAAAATGTACCGTTAATATCAAAAGGCCATTCTGGTTACATTTGGTCAAGGTACTATGAATTAAATTTTTGAATCAAATTTTATCATGAAAATAATATTCTTGTTTTTATGGTACTTGTTTAAATTGTCGCAATTGTACGTGTACTAATTGATTTAAGGCGATATAAATCTGTTTAAAAACAATATATGAATATTTCTTACAGCTGTTGGTGTTGGGTGTGGAGAAAATGGTGTGCCCCAAGAGAGTTAAAATCAAGAACAGTATACATAGGCCAATCCAGCACAGAAAAATTTCCTCCTAATGCAATCAGAAATCAAGTAAATTTTGTGGATTACGTTATTACCATCTTTGTGTATTTGTTAATTAATTAATATTCTTATTTACAGAAATATAATTTTATTACATTTCTTCCAATGGTGCTATTTCAACAATTTAAATTTTTTCTGAATCTATATTTTTTGATAATGGCGACTAGTCAATTCATTCCTGATATTCGTATTGGTTATTTATATACGTATTGGGGGCCTCTGGTAATTTTAATTCATTTTAATAAATAATTCTGGTGTTATAGAGGCCCTGATAACATTTGTTTTTCAGGGTTTTGTTTTAACAGTAACAATTTTTCGTGAAGCAATTGATGATTTGAGAAGACATAGACGAGATAAAGAAGTTAATTCACAGAGATATAGAAGATTAAAAGGTCCTGACAATCAGACTGAACTTGTTCCTGCGTGTAGCCTTAAGGTGAATAGTTTAAGCATTTATTTATGTAGAAATTTACATAACATAATGTTTTTATTAGTAGTGACCTAACTAATTTATGTTATTATTAGGTTGGGGATATCATTCACATTGATAAAGACCAAAGAGTACCAGCTGATCTAGTCTTGTTAAGAACTAGTGAAAAGTCAGGATCTGTATTTATTCGTACTGATCAGTTAGATGGTATGTTTACATGGTAACATTACAATAATTTTGAATTGAATTTTCTCTATTATTTTTTTAGGTGAAACTGATTGGAAACTAAGATTAGCTATACCTGCTACACAGAAGCTTGCCAGTGATAATGACCTGTTTTTAACTAATGCTAGTTTATTCATTGAGAAACCTCAACGTGATATACATTCCTTTATTGGTACCTTTAACATGGTTAGCAAAATATAGCATTTAATATTATTACCTATGTATAAAATACCAATCTTGGATCAGGTTTTAAATTGCAAAATTCATTTTATTGTTGAATTAAGTAGTACCAAGTGTATAAATTATTTTTACATCTAAATTTATTTTAGCATGATTCTTCTTCAAATCATGAAGAAAGTCTTAATGTTGAAAATACATTATGGGCAAACACGGTTGTGGCTGCGGGCCAAGCAACTGGCATTATTGTATATACAGGTAAATATTAATAATACAATATTTTTCAGTGTTGCTTACATCTATTAGGGGGACCGGAAAGTAATGTCGTTTTCTTACGCTAAATTTCAAACACATACATTTTTAACGAGTCTTTATTTTTAATCAATGATGTATTCCCCATCATTTTCAATAACCTTTTGCCATCTAGTCAGTAAATTTTTAATCCCTGATTGATAAAAATTAATTGGTTTTTCGGCAAAATATCTAGAGTTGGCATTTTGGATATCATCCAAATTTGCAAATGTTTTGCCACTTAAAAAGTGTTGCAGCCCTCGGAATAAGTGGAAATCCGATGGTGCAATATCGGGCGAATATGGTGGATGAGGTAAAACGCTTCTGTGTTGTGTCGTTGAAGCAATAAGTTGCATGTGATTGATCGGTTAGCCTTATTCTGTTCGGACAGATTATGCGGGACCCAAACACCTGCTCTGCTTACTTTCCCAATCTGCTTCAAATGTTCTTGGATGGTCGACCAAGGTTGGTTGAGACTGTTTGACAATTCCTCGATCGTCTGACACGGATTTGCTTCCACTTCCGCCCTTAACACGTCGTTGTCTAACGCTGATGGTCTTCCTGATCGATACGAGTCGGAAAGATCAAAATTACCCGATTTGAACTTGGAAAACCACCTTTGGCATTTACGAATGTCCAGTGCATTTGGATAAATATCGCAAATGTTTTTGGTAGCAACTGTTGCGTTATTTCTCTTGCGAAACTCAAAGAGCATGCAATGCCGGATGTGTACCTCTTCTGGTATTTGGCTGGCCATTTTACCCAAAATTACAAAAAAAAATTTGTAATTCAATTGTCTATAAGTAAAGAAATCACTATGTCTCACAATGTCTTTGGTACGCCTCTGAACCAAACAATGAGCTGACAAATGACAATCAAGTATTGGCATGCGCAGAAACGACATTACTTTCCGGTCCCCCTAATATAACAAATATTATACTTTAAGGTTGTGAGACGAGAAGTGTTATGAACAATTCTCAACCAAGGTCAAAAGTAGGGCAGCTGGATATGGAAATAAATGGATTAACAAAGGTAAGATACATTAATTAAAAGATCTATTAATTAAAAAACAACACTGTTATGACTATTTAAATCATGATCTTAGTTTTGCAAAATATATTATACTAAACCTAATCTTGATCTTATTTTACTCGTTCATGTTTCATATGTGGAATTTAATTTTAGAAATGAATTTTATTATATTTTTAAAGGTGTTGTTTTGTGCTGTAATGGGATTATCATTGGTAATGATGGCGCTAAAAGGTTTTAACGGACCCTGGTATCGTTATTTATTTCGATTTGTTTTATTATTTTCATATATCATTCCAATCAGGTTAGTAACAACAATTCATTTAATAATATGAAAATTTTATGATGATCTTTGGCAATGTGAAAACATTACAGTTTGAGAGTCAACTTAGATATGGGAAAAGCATTTTATTCATGGTCAATACAAAATGATAAAGAAATTCAAGGAACAGTTGTAAGATCAACAACAATTCCAGAAGAATTGGGACGTGTGTCATATTTGCTTTCAGATAAAACTGGCACTCTCACACAAAATGAGATGGTTTTTAAAAAATTACATCTCGGTACTACTTCATTCAACAGTGAAACTTTTGACATGGTAATTGATAATTTCTTTATTAATTTGAATTCAATATTTTATCATATCTGCATGTTGCAAATGTAATTGACAAATTGGTACAACTTTGAGGTGTATCACTATAAATAGTTTTTTTGTAGGTACGGGCACAAATAAAATCTCTGTCAGCCCAAAACGATGTTTATCCTAAACCACCAGCAGGAAAATTAAGGAGATCTGAAGGATGGCGTGTTTGGGAGTCTGTTAGAGCATTGGCTTTATGTCATAATGTTACTCCAGTTTATGATGGTAAAACTGAATCTTTTATAGATTTTAACAAAGAAAATTCATTGAAATTTTATTATTTTAGAGTTTAATCTTACTGGCTGTACGTATCAGGCTTCAAGTCCTGATGAAATTGCATTGGTTAAATGGACTGAGCAAGTATGTCTAATTTCACTTAAAACATTAAATGATATTTATTAAGAATATTATAATATTCTATTCTTGTTAAAATGCTATATTTAGGTGGGATTAACTTTGCACCAGCGGGATCTACAAACCATGACACTGAAATTTGGATTAGTAAATAAACAAAATTTTACTGATGGTCATGATTTCACATATACAATTCTCCAATTGTTTCCATTTACCAGCGAATCCAAAAGAATGGGAATAATAATAAAAGTAAGCTTAGGTCTTACTATTAATATAGCTATATTAATTCTAAACAATTTTTTTTATTTGCTTATGTTAATATTTTTATACTTTAGGATATGCAAACTGGAGAGATCATTTTTTATCTGAAGGGAGCAGATGTGGTATTTATTATTCATTAATTTTGTATAGATGTAAAATACACAATGTATGTTACAATATTTTTATAAATTAGGTACTTGCGTCAATAGTCCAATATAATGATTGGTTATCTGAAGAATGTGGCAATATGGCTAGAGAGGGTCTAAGAACTCTTGTTGTTGCTAAAAAGACTTTAACTGAGGATCAATATAATGATTTTGAAGTAAGCTTTTTGTTCAAAATATAGTTCAATATTAATTTATAGCTAACTGTATAAAATATTTTAAATTGTAGAGCCGATATAATGCAGCTCGTGTCAGTAAGACAGATCGTAACACTAAAGTTGCCCAAGTTGTTGAATCTTTAGAAAGGGAAATGGAACTTTTATGTTTGACGGGTATATCATAAAATTAATTGAAGCTTATGGGCATATTTTTTTCATTGTAATTTCTATTAGGTGTGGAAGATAAACTGCAAGACAATGTGAGGCCAACACTAGAACTTTTAAGGAATGCTGGAATCAGAATTTGGATGCTAACAGGAGATAAATTAGAGACCGCTACTTGCATTGCAAAGAGTTCCCATATAATATCTAGAAACCAAGGCATTCATATACTGAAAAGTGTTGTAACAAGGTTTGTGATAATAGAATCTATGTGACTTAGTTGGGCTGTTGTCATAATAAATGTTTTTATAGAACGGATGCACATTTGGAGCTGAATCTTTTTAGGCGCAAACAAGATTGTGCATTAGTTGTCAGTGGAGAAAGTTTAGAAGTGAGATTTAAAAGCTTTTGAATCAATTATTTACTATTATTAATTAATGAGTATCTATTCTAGAGTGAATTTAATTTATAGGTTTGTTTACAATATTACCAAAAGGAATTTTTAGAACTTGCTACTGCTTGTCCTGCTGTAGTATGTTGTAGATGTTCCCCTACACAAAAAGCTCAAGTTGTAAGTGATGAATTTTTTTTTTCACCAGTTTCAATAATTGTTTTATATCTCATTTATATCAAAGGTCTCGTTAATTAAAACACATACTGGAAAGAGAACATGTGCTGTTGGTGATGGGGGTAATGATGTTAGTATGATTCAGGAAGCAGATGCAGGTAATTACATAAATTTATTAAATATTCTAGGAAGGTTTGTTCCACTAAATAAATTTTATTTATTTTCTATGTTTCAGGTATTGGCATAGAAGGTCGTGAAGGTCGTCAAGCTAGTTTGGCAGGTGATTTTTCAGTCCCTCAATTTTCTCATATTGCTAAACTATTCTTAGTTCACGGTAGAAGATCTTACAAACGGTCTGCTGCTTTATCACAGTTTGTTATTCACAGAGGACTTATTATATCTACAATGCAGGTAAAAAATTGATAATTGTGTTATGTGAAGATACTGTTATACATTAATAATTTATGTTTTTAGGCTGTGTTTTCTGCAGTATTTTACTTAAGTAGTATTGCCTTATATCAAGGATTATTGATGGTGGGTTATGCTACTTTGTACACTATGTTCCCTGTTTTCTCATTAGTTTTAGATCAAGATATTAGCTCACGTACCGCATTAACGTATCCAGAATTATATAAGGAGCTTTCTAAAGGTCGAAGTCTCTCATATAAAACATTTTTCATTTGGGTACTGATATCTATATATCAAGGTTAGATATATTTTTTATATAATTGTGTGAAAATATAATCTAAAAAAAATGATAGGATGATTTATAAATATGGTTATGAAGTTAATTGTTATTATAATCAATATTTCATTATTAGGTGGTGTAATAATGTATGGAGCTTTGATTTTATTCGAAGATGAATTTATTCATATTGTAGCAATTAGTTTCTCAGCTTTGATCCTTACAGAATTAATAATGGTTGCTTTGACAATAAGAACCTGGCACAGACTTATGGTTTTAGCTGAATTGTTAAGTTTAGCTTTATATCTGTTGTCATTGATGATTTTACATGAATATTTTGGTAAGTAAAATATTTCATTTACGCTTCAAATGTTTCAAAACTTTATTACAGCAATTTATCAATTTAATTACTTCATTTATTAAATATTAAATTCTTGCAGATTCGGAATTTATCAGAACCTGGGACTTTTTCTGGAAAGTTTTAGCCATAACATTAATTTCATGCTTTCCTTTATATGTGATAAAGCTACTTAGGAAAAAGTTCTCACCACCAGCATATTCTAAACTAACATAATTTATAATTTGGTTATTTACTTTTATACTATATATAATTCTATTTATATTTGTCTTACTAAAATAATTTTATGTTGACAGTTATTGATGTTACTTTAGGTAAGGCATATATATATATATATATATATATATATATATATATTATATATATTATTCCAAATTGTATAATATAATTAATAATTTATATAGAATGTTTTATTGCTTTTATAACTTGATTGTTTCATTTCATAAACGTTCATGACCTGTTTCAAATAGTAAATATGATTCAAAGGAGTTGGGAAAGTAGGTTATAAATTAAGTATTTTATTAAACAAGGCACATAATCAGTTATGAGAATCTATTATATTACACAGATGTTATTTTATATTATCGGTATGTGATATAAAATTTAGAATTTTGCTAATTGCGAGTCAAGTATATGATTTAATTGATATATGACACATTATTGTATTCACATACATAAATATCATTAGGGCGTATCATAGATAAAAGAAGAGTATAATGGGATGTATAATAATATATACTTGAGGGATCAGAACATGCCTATTGGCCTATATTCTTGGTAATAATCTGGTCTACTTTCTATTTCAAATTTTTATCATTTTTACTTCGGTCCTGCATAAACCCTACGATTTTTATTTTTGTGCATGATAATAATAATGATTCTAACCAAAAAACACATCCTACGTTGTCTACTAGTACTTGATGTGATATTTTTGTTTTTGTAATGTTTGCAACACGTCATCGTATTCGCGGCACAGAGCTCAGTGCATGTTCCTATCAGGAATTAGTAAACATGTGTTTGTGTTACTTTAGTGGAGGTTAGGTTGTTAGGTTCGTTAATTTTGTATAACATTGGAATAACATCAAACCGTAAGTGTTTTTAACGATTTACTTTGTTATTTATACTTACGTAGTTTCCACAGAATGCTAAGTATTTTTTCGAAGCCTATAGATTTTTCTTCAAAACCTATAGGTTAAACCTTAAATAAATTCACAACACTTATTGACGTAACGGCCATCATTAAAACTTGCTGCACAATATTTGTGTGACATTATTTTTAATGTTCACTTTATGAAGATATTTACATATTACCATTTTACGATCGTTATAAATCATAATTGTGAAAGTTTTCTAATTTTATAAGATCTTCCATTAACAACTTATAATTTTGGACAATGACACTTAGATTCGATTTTACATTAAATAATACACCCTAGGCGTGTGTGGCATATTGCGTTATAATGGCTATTATTCTACCAAACTTCAAGGAATCTTTATAATCAAATCGCGTTTCATCAAAATCTGGTGAAAATATAAATAACAAAATGTAATAAAAGTTAAAAGTTACAACTTTGATTTTCTCACCTCCCGATTTTTGTCACTTTTTACAGCATTTTTTTTATTTAAATTTAATCAATAAATAAGATAAATTAAAAATGTCTATATTTAGTTATCAGCAAAAATATTCCAATATCACGTTAATTTGTCGTTGGCACACGTACACAACATATTAAGCTAATGAACTCATTGAAAAATTGTCATATTTATATTATTTATAACTAAAAGTCTGGGAGTTTACATATATTAATTATTTTATAACAGCTAGCTTAAAATTGACTCGTTTGCTATGCAATATATACCTAATTGCAATTTAAAGTTTAGATCTCGAACTTCACAAATTCTCCTATTAAAAATTGTTTTTGCAATTGGTTTTGGTTCAAGTAGATGTTAAATTAATAATAGTATATCTTTATGTTGATTTAATCTCCAGTCATCATCTCCATGAATTCTGCAACAAGATATTAATATTTTGTTATTTTCATTGAAATACTAACAAAATTAAACTATTCCTTTAACTTAACTAACTATATGTATAATATTTTGGGACTAAAATAGTCAAAAAAAAATCACTTATCTTTTCTAAAATCTGGTTTTCCGCTGTTATATTTCAAATGGGCTTTTAATTTTTATAATCGGTTGTAAGGAAGCGGTAGTCCGATCTTCGCGAAAAATGAATCAACGCGAATTACATCGAATAACGAAAACCAAATTTGTGCTTAGTCAGATACATTTTCCAATTGTTTGCGGTGACAAACGATTCAGAATGACTTGGCTCAAATTAGCAAATCGGATCTTCCGACAAAATATATAAACTACGTAAAAAAATGTTATTCACCATCGAAATCGACAGTTCCTGATCCATCAGTATCGATTTCCGCGATGATTCCGTCCAAGTCGGACGAGCTGAGTTTGTCGTCGAGCGCTCCCAAGATCTCCTTCAGCGTGCTGGTTGTGATGTAACCGTTTCCTTCGCGGTCGTACAGCCTGAAGGCTTCTTTCAATTCCTGCTGCATCGCCTCATCGTCCTCTTCTTCTAAGAAATGGGCGGCGATCGCGCAGAATCCGTCGAAGTTTACTTTGCCAGTGCCTACGGGAAAGAAATTCACGAAATTCAAATTAAAACTCTTGCAGATAATATATAAATGACACATTTATATTTCCATATATTATTGTAAAAATATTATGAGCGATTCTAATCATTTCGCTCATAGTTCATATAACATGCATCATAAAAGTCCCAAGACATCGTTTCATTCCCGGTGGCGCCAGGCATTTGATTTCCTTATGTTTGTAATATTTTTATAAAGCATTTATTTATTTTTGAAGTCCATTATTAGCGAATTTTGAATGTATTAAGCATTATTAAACATCTATTTTTACCCAAATGTTTGTAATAAATCACAATTGAGGACAAATACCAATCTGTCAAGATGCTAGGATCTCGAGTTTTTCTTGGCGAGCTGACAATTACAGTTTAGAGATTGGCATCAAAAATCTAAGATGCTGTTAATGATCGTTCATCCATGAAACAACACTCACTCAAGCCATATGGCGGAATATATATGAAAAACATTTAGTATCCGTTTTCGATGCCCGTTGTAAATATAAATTACCTTTGTGAGAAGGAACCGCAAGAAAACAGTTTTCTATTTTTGATCATAGAATATTACTATTACCGACTATTTTAAAAGTTATTATTATTTTACCTTCGGGGTCGTTTTCTCCGATGAGGTTTTGCAATTCGCTGTCGTCGAATAATTGACCCATGGTATTCAAAATAGTTGAGATCTTCAAGGTGTCGATGAATCCAGACTTTGTTGTGTCAAACATCTGGAACGCCTTGCGCATGATTGCCATTTTTTGTTCATCGTCAGAATCCTTTAAAAGAAATGGTCAATTGGGTTCGATTTTTAAGAACGGTTTACAGTTGGGTTCGAATTTTTATTACACTCGATTGTTGCGTAAAATGTAATTTTTAAAATAATTTTAAGAATAATAACTACAAAAATCGATTTATCAATTTGTACCAATAGCAATTTTTACAAATGTTAATTATACAACGTAAGTTCTACTAATATAATTATAATTACGGTAAATCGTTAGTATTTTTCAATGTTTAATTGTATAATCTTCTATTTCACATTTCTTTTATACAATTTTAGTTAATCAAAGACATGTATTCAATATTTTAAGTCTTCAATGCACGTTATTGAAAGACCGGTTTGCGATTTTCCCAATTTTTTATATTTATTGTTTCTGATAATTGATTAGACTTATTTCAATCATAAAACTTATTTTTTTAAAAACGAGCTAATTTTTTTCTTACTATTATCATTATTTGGCATCGTTCTAGAGATATATTTTAGTTCATTCATTTAGTCATTCCTCGCACGACATTCCTCGACGGTTACACATTGCGAATATAATTCATTCACAAATAAACAGTGCTCTAACTACTGTTTGAATTTTTATTTATGATTTTTCTGAAAGATTGTCTAATTATCTGAAATATATTATTTTATGAGATTACACATTTTTTATATAAATTCAAAGCTTTCGTGACTTTCGCGTTATACTTTAAATTTTTATTTGTGCAATATTGTTTTACGAATTGCATTATGTTAATTGATGCATTCATTATTTAGAATGACAAATTATTGTCGTTATGTAAATTATATCCGCCAGATATACACAATAAACCTTAATAGATAAACTTGATAGTGAAGAATATTCTTTAAAAAGTGGAATAAGTATTAATAACATTCTCTTATTTTAATTTAATTTTATTTAATACAAAATTAGTGTCCGAAATTCATATAGGTTTTTCAAACTAAGATTTTAATATTTAAGCTTCTGAATGAACTGCCTCGATATAAATATTTAATGCATTAAATTATATTTTTAGCATTTTGATTACATTATATGGTTGGGTATTCACAATCCAAATATAAATATTTTTACAGAGCATCTATCGAATATGATATATAAAACTGTAATCAAAGTATTTATAAATTTGTTACGTTTATATGAAAACCACGTCTTTATAGTTATTAAAAAGAATAAATTTATGATGGGAATTAACATGAAATATAGTTTGTACGTCGTGTTTCACTTTAAACATTTGTTAAAGAAATAGTATTGTGTTATTTATCTATTGTTACAATTTGTATGCACTAATCCACTTTTTTATTTAACCACATAATCACTTTTCGAGTGCAATTCCGTTCTATGTATTTTATGTTATACACTATAAATGGAATTTAGTGTCACTTATATAAGGCAAATTACAAAAATGATTAAGTCAGATTAATAATGAAACTTCAACAATACCATTGCTTTGCCGTTATCCTTTTTGAATCACCAATCAAGAAAAATATGCCGATTAGTAAACTAAAGTCAAATGGAGGTGCATCACCCAAATTTATAGACTGTCCGAGAAGTCTCGGTGTGTCCCCACTACCATCGTCGTGGAACCAGGAGCCAAAATAAAATAAAATATTATAGCACGGCGGAAAATGTGGTATTTTGAACGGGCTAGAAAATTGAAATCTTCGTTGTTGTGTAAAACAAAACTACGTCGGTTACACTGTTACACGGTTACACGCAAAGTTTGTAATAGCCGCGCATTGCACACAGGAGAAGGGTAACAAACGTGTAATAAATTGCCTAATAAGTTTATATTACCCAGTCCTAGAAAATACCAATTCTAGTTTCATGTTTTCATGATGTTTCAACTTGTTCCGAATTGAGACCAAAAATATGTATGTCATTCAAAATTAACATCTCGATAAAAACTAGCATTATTTAGGAATCATCAGCGGAGCCTTTTCTTTAAAATTAGCAGAAAAGTGCAGAGTTTTTTTGAGTTCTCGTTCCCGATTAAAATCCTGAATTGATTGTGAAAATTTAAAAAGCGTTAGGTATTAATTATGGGATCGTGCTGAATATTTTCTGGCCAAGATTTGCTGGCCGCTTTTTTGTAATTAAATGTTAATTTTTTTGCTAGAGTTTACAGTATGAACAAACATCCTAATATATCATAGTTCTACGCAAAGTAGTTGCATTACAAAAAATTTAATAATAGACCCCGCTTTTAAGGCATACAAGCCCGTGTTTGTGCACCATAATCAATAAATTTTTATTATATGTCTATTATATATCAACTGGAAATCGATTTGATTAATTTTTAATGAGAACGAAAACTTTATTTTCGAAATAAACAATGAAAATTTTACCTTAATAGCAAAATCTGAATTTTTTGGTTAAATTGATTATTTACACATTACATTTACATTAAGTTCATGCAACGTTCTCTGAGGCAAAATGCCATTATACGAATGCGTTTTAATTTGTAGTTTGCAATTAAAACGCTGGCCATTATAACGATCTCAGTTATTCTTTTCGTTGTCGTCAATTAAGTTGTTCTTTTCAAATGCGATCAGTAATATTAAATAATATATTCAGTGGGTTGTTTTTCAAGTAATTCTTATTCGTGCGCATTAATGCTGCAGTATTATAGTTTTTTCGAAGACAGAAAATAAAAATAACATATGCTAAATCTGGCCTCATCACCTCACTCGCACGGACGCCACTCATGACTTGATTAACGTAAATATTGAAAATAAACATCAACTTCCACACAAAATACCGACTAGAATGGCGATTCTATTTTAGCTCTTGTACAATAATAGTTTTATGGAAAAGTTTTTGTTAGCGGAATATGCACCAAATCAAATTTGTAGGCAATAATGCAACGGGGACAAAAATTTGCGATATCTACAACTATCATACAAAGTAGCTTAGTCTTACCTTTAATGTTTTAATATCAATAATGTTCAATGTTTATTTGGCCTTCGTCAACTACATTTTTTGAGAAACATATGATATTTTAACTGCCAGTGTATGAACTTAAAATTAGTAAAATTATTAATTGAAATATTTTTGTGTGAATTATCATGAAATTGTTAAAAAGAGTTTTTTTTAAACAGATAGAGGTAATGATATGGCTGTTTAGTAAACCATGAAAAAACATGGTTTAATGAGCTTCTTTATTAGTAAGTTTAGCCAAACGAAGAAGTAAAAATATGTAGTAATAAATGTTTGCTACGAATAAAACTATTTATTATCCATTAATTGACCACCTGCCTCAGTTCGGCTTGAAGGCAAATGTCAGAATGTAATTAACTGTGTAATAAATAAGGCAGTTAATTAAAAGAGTTATGTCAAATATTGGCATCGTTCGAATATTTCTGAGATCGACTTACCATTTACAAAAACTTCAAATAGCTCATGTCGGTCTCGTTCGACGCGATTTATTTCTAGAGGGTCATCAATCAGCAAACATGCATTACATGGATCATCTCGCTCCATGCTAAAAACGATTTATCGCTAAATTTAGGTGGAAAACTGGCACTGCGTTCCACGGCGAAATGAAAATGATTGCTTTTATTGTGTTGATGCTTGTCACACATTTGCTAGTATGTACTTTCATTGTTGTTTTTCACATTTTATAGTTCATGTACGTAAGATCCACTTACGTTGTTAACTTTTTCTTTAATATAATCCAGTAAAACATCTGCTTTATATATTTTGTTCGAATTAAATATTATCTTTATTAACTTATGAATATATAACTGAAGAAATCATTTTATCGTGATTTTACCTGAAAATTCAAATTGTTAATTTTCTTCTATCGACGTTTCAACTCATACTGAATTGTTTAATACCAAAATTGGAAAATTTTCTTATAAAAGAAGCTGTTCCAATTTAATTTTTTTTAAAAAAGCCATTTAATTTACTCGATAAATCTTCGTTCTTGCGCCGTTCACCCAGCCGTTTCTTTCTAATTAGCATGTTGAAATTTAAATTATATATATATATAATTTATATATTTATATATATTTATATATATATATATATATATATATATATATATATATATATATTATAGTATTATAAATACATATGTATATGTAATTTTCAAGAAATTAAACTTGCAATGAAGCAAATAGTATGCTAGCGTTCGTTTAAAATCTGATTAAACTCTTGAATCAAAGTTTGGCACATCAAAATTGTTTGACATTGACTAATCGTTTGTACATTACATTTACACACTATTAGAAGGATTAGTTCGATTGAAACCCGATATAGCTAACTGAGAAACAAAGGCAAATTATCGGGCGTGATTTTGAGTAATTTAAATCTGTCACGAGAAATTTGTCTTATCTCGTGTCGACTAACTCCGTGAGTAATGCATTCGCCAACATCTGGTCCGAGATTTATTTGTCCGCATACGCCAAATGATCGCGTGTGTTGATCACTTGATGTTTCGTCGTGGATTTAGTCATACGGATGTCGGGGCTGTCCACTTGCCCACAATAGCCAGAATACATTATTAGGTGGGCTCAGTTTTTCCCACTACTCTCCTACATTCCGACAAACAGAATTATTTTTTGAACACTCATAATGTATTGCACGAGCATGTACGACGTGTCCTACCTGTGTATTCTCTATGTTGTTTGATTTATGTCGAAGAGTTGGCGAACGTTTGAACTGCTCAAAATAACAACGATACTATTTTAATATTTGCCTGCGGTACTTTGGCTTATATGATCGGTTTGATTTTACCCAATATTTGATCATAATACACAATAATTTGGCTCATGTTCATCATGAACTAAAATAATATTAAAAATTTTTTAAAAAAAGTTTATGTGGCATATTATTGCCATTTTCAGTATTCCACATGATAATTCATTCGCGTGAGAAATAATTAATAACCCTTGCATAGAGTATGAAAATTGTATGTAAGTTGCATAATGATCGTGTATATGACAGAAGAAGTGTAAAAACAGAAATAAAACAAATTAGTTTGAAGTCCAATTGAAACAATGTATTCATTTATGCGCTTGTTCTAAAGTACTAAATGTAATAACTATTAGCTTTGAACTTCCATTGAAAAGCCTTGCAAATTGCCAGATAGAAATTGTAGTCTGTGGAGATTTTTCTTTAACGACCGGGTCATTTACCAGCTATGTGCAATTGGGGCATAACTGTATGGATAAGTGTATGCTGGGTAGGCTGCATATTCAGACACCAATGGAGTAGCAGCATAGGCCAGAGCTGGAGCGTGATGTTCTACTACTGTTTTGTGATGGACATCGCTTCGGCTCTGGTGTGATACGGCTTTTGGCACGGAAGCTACAACTGCTGGAGCAGCGTAGGCTGTTACTGCTGCAGGAGCGGCCACTAGCGCCGGGGAAGCAACAGCGACGGCTGGAACGTGTTGTTCTACTACTGTTTTGTGATGTACATCTGTACGACTTTGGTGAGATACTGCAGACGGGACCGATCCTACTACTGCTGATCCAACAACAGCTGGAGCAGTATATGTTGTCACAGATGCGGGTGCGGCAAGTGCAGGAGCAGCGTAGGCAACTACTGGTGCATGATGTTCAACTACGTTTTTATGGTGGACATCAGTTCGGCTTTGATGTGACACGGCCGTTGGTGCAGAGCCGATTACTGCTGAACCAACTACTGCTGGCGCTACCACATCGTGTTCTAAAACGACATCATGTACTGCTCCATACAAATTTCCTGGTCTGGCGAAAGCTACTGCCACGCAAGCACACAATACCACCTATTAATAAAATTTGAAATAAAAGAATAAAATACTATTTTTTATACTTTTGCTGAATGTTGTTATCAACTGAACTAATACATACATGTAAAACGTATTAAATTATAAAGTTCTATAAAATAAAGCGTATGTTAAAAGTACTCCTTAAAATGAATTTGTAAGACAAAACAATAATATTTTTGCGTACCAACTTGAACATTTTGATTTGTTTTTGAAGCTCTGTGGTATGTTCTGTCTTGGAAGTGTAGCGACTGATGTTTGTCCAGAAAACGTGCTCCAGTTTTTATACTTGGCTGGCATTGGCTTTGAGGAAAACCTTGACTCTCGGATGACGCGACACAGCGCAAGGGTCCCCTCTTTGTTTTGCCCCCTTTTTCGACCGTCATGACGTCTCTGAATCGGCGGAGGATAATTGAGAGTAAATCTCGATCTCGGCATAGGTGCCCTGGTATCTCGCAACGGCTGGCTAATCATAAGCGCCGCGACCGCCGCGACCGCCGCGACCGTCCCGCGACCTTCACGAAGAAAGTGCATCGAGTGCCGGCAACAATTCTAATTCTGATTGCTTAATTTTGAACGGGGTAATATAATATGATCAATGTTGAAACAAGATTAGGGTTTTTCGTATTTATTGATTATTGCATGATCGAATATTGATTATACATATTTCAATATCCATCAAAAACAATTCAACATTTTTATGAAATCCGTATTTGAATATGAATTCATATTTAATACACACGCACACATACACACACACACATATATATTTATACATATATA